CTAGCCTGAGGTGGCACCTGAGCTCCTCCCACCTCAGCCTCTCAAAGTGCTGAGATTGCAAGTGTGTGGCACTACACCTCACTAGAATGTTCTCTGGGACTGAGCTGTCTGACACACTTGGAGAAGAGATAGTCTTAGATGTTTTTGACATTTCTGGTTTATTTTGTACTTATCTTGTTGGTGGGGGCTTGCTCCTGGGTTCCTCAGGCACTGTCTGAGTGCCGCCCCCTCTCTGGCCACACCCCACAAGCCCCTGTGTTCGTGCCATTCGTGTGGCTCTTGGCTCAGGTCCAGAACACTGGTCTGGTAGGCCTCGGGCTCCAGCTGCTCCCAGCCCTTGCCTCTTCCTCCATAAGCTGGGGCTCCCTGTCTGGTGCTCCCTACTGTGTTGCTTTCGGGGGTGGCTCCTGCAGCACGACAGCCTGGTCTTCACCTCCTCTCTGGCCCCCTGCACAGCCCCCAGCCCAGGGCTGGGACATCAGAGCACCTGGTGAGGTGCTGCCCTGCAAAGGCTGTACGATGCCCAGCGCCACAGCCGGGCTTCTGGCCCTGGACTCCCCCGACCTTGGGGTCGGAATCCCCCGCGGCATCACCCTCTGCCTCTGCTCCTCCTCTGGCCCGTCTTCATCCTGGTTGAGTGGAGAGCATCCCGGAGCCCAGTGTGTGCTCATCTCCGCCCAGGCCCGGGCCACCCTCTCCACCCGCCCCTCTAGGGCATCATCTCCTCTGCACCGCCAGCTTCTCCCTGTCCTCTGGACCACAGCCCGCGATGCCACAGCTGCCCCGCCTTGCCAGGTGCCTCTCCAGGGAGCCTCCCTCTGTTTGTGCTGACCGTGACCTCCCTGGCCCGCTGGTCTCTCCTCCCTCCTCCCGGTCCCGCCCCCTTTGCTGTGTTCACTTCCTAAGTTCAGGTGGCAGCTTTTCCACCCCCCTTTTTTTCCGGTATTGGGGATTGAACCCATAGCCTTTGCAATAGGCTACCTCCCCAGGCCTTTTTTAAATTTTGAGACGCATTCTCACCAGGTCAGCCCAGCCAGGCTGAGCTAGAACTTGTGACTTCTGCCTGGCATGACAGGTGTGTACCACTGTCATGGTGACACTGTCACACTGACAGGTGTGTGCCAGCTGCTTCTCCATCTTTTGGATGACATCCCAAAAATGCGACTCCCAAGCCCAGACCTCTCACCTGCCTGTCCAGCTGCCTCCTGATATCTCCTTTGGGTGTGGGTACCTCCACCTCCACGGTCCTCCCCTCCAAGCTTCCGCTCTGCCTCTCCCCCGACTCCTGCCAGAAACCGGGACCCTGACACACTGGCCCTCCTGTGCAGTGGTGAATACCCATGGTTGCACTGTCAGAATACAACCGCCTCGTTCGGTTCCTATTGCCCCCACCCCCGTGCCCTCTGCAGTCTGCTGTGCACCCTGCAGCCCAGATGACCCTGTTAAGTACCTGCTGGCTCACACCCGTGCTTTGCTCAGCCTTCCAAGCTCCCAAGTCAAGCAGGGCAAGGACAGCCTCCTTCCTCCCTCTGCAGTGGGGACCCCCAACCTCATGCCCGTCCCAGCTCTCTGTGCTCCAGCCCCCCCAGGATTCCTTTCTGCCTCCCAGATGTCAGCCCCAAGGACGGAGGTGTCAGGTTGGCCTGAGCGCTCCCTGTTGTGTCCCCAAACACAGTGCAGGACACATTTGGGTGCCCAGGACCACTTGTGGAACGACACCTGCTGTGGTTGTTTTCTTCCGGACTGGCCTCTCTCCCTCTGTGAGGCACCCATGCTCTTCTGAGCTGCAGGTAGCAGCATGGGCCACTCCAGGCCACAGCGGTGGCCTCTGGACCAGTCCCTTGGGTCTTCTGGGGAAATATGTTTGGCCAGATCAGTAGTGGGAGTTGGGCTGGACCTCTGCTGGTGGCCGAGTACGTCCTGTGCTCAGCCCGGCTGCTGCTGGTGATTAACACCAAACACAGCCGAAGCTGCTTCCTGCCAAGTTGCAAACCAGCCATAAACCATGCTGGATAATCATCCCTCCCTTCTGAAATTTTTTCATAGTAGATGTTATACCTGAAACCTTAGACAATGGAGTTTGACTTCCAGCGCAGCCCTTTTCTACAGCCTTGGTCATTAAAAGTAAGTCACCAGTGCTCACTGTGGGGTCATGAGAACCACACGGCATGAGGTCAGTACCGCCTCTCAGTCTCAATGACAGCAGAGAGAGTTGTCGCCCCCACCCCTCCCCACCTAGCCAGAGCCCACGATCACCTGTGCACATCAGACTTTGTTACTGTTAGAAAGAACAAAGTATGCAGTATTCTTTAAACAGTGTACATAAGGAGAGAAAAAAAGCTTTCTGTGACGAGTTAGAATTTGTACAGAGGGGAAAGCAAGTATAAACGTTTATACCATTAGAAACCTGGCAAGAAACAAACAGGACAGAGGGGAAAATATGACAGAAACAACTCTTGCCAAGCAGTTTGTAAATTATACTGCAAATCCATAGATGTGGGTGAGGGAAGAGAAAACAACTGTGTTACAGCTGTGTTCAGTCACAGATTGTCCTCTGTCCAAAGCCGACAGACAGCTCCTAAGCACAGGACAGATTTCCCGAGGAACGGAAGTGGGGAAGAGAGCCTGCAGGGTGCCCATTTCAGGAAGGGCAGGAGGGGCCGAGCAGAAAGGCAGGAAGGTAAGAGAAGGCAGAAGGAAAGGTGGAGGCAGAGAAAGGCAGGAACTGTCTGTGCCCACAGGGAACCTGGGCCAGCGGTGCCGCTCATGCAGTTGGCTGGGCGTGCGGCTTCTGTCACCCAGCCTGGTCTTACATCCCTTCTCCAGAGAAGCCCTAACAGACCCAAGCACCCGAGCCCAGAAGTAGTTTGGTCACGGGCAGCCATCCCAGCTGATCTGAGTCACTGTCCCATCTTGCATGATTGCTACCATAATCACGTCGCAGCTGTGACACTTGGAGAGACCATTTCATTTTCTTGACCCGCAGTGGGAAATGAGTTAAAAGTGAGTCCCAAGGAATGGTAATGCCGAGCTCACACGGGCTGCATGGGAATGTGCTGCCTGCCTCCCACAGTGGACAGAGGGCGTGGGGGACGCCATCCTTGTCTGAGAGTAGCAGAGTCACCGTCGGTTCCCCCAGAGCCCGGTTGAAGTGCTGTGGAGGGCAGCGGGGGTCCGGTTAACAGGAGCAAGCACTGCTTTTCTCTTCCTGCAGAGTGTGTGGGTTGTGTCATAGCACTTTCTTTGTTTGAATTTTTACCTAAAATTTTTCTGAATGTTTTCTTTCTCAACTGACAGAATTTAGTTACCCAAAAGTAGCCTTAAATAATATATCTATTTAGAAAATAGATTTGAAGAGCAAGAAATCTCTAAGAAGTCAAATGGAATAACTTCCAGTATGTCCACGTTTGGAAGCATAAAACCCCATTTTATTTTCTAAAAGTTACGTTTTTTAAAAATTGGCCACAAAATCAAAATTGAGAAATGTTAGACTTTCTCAGTTTCTAAATTTGAAATGTTATTTCATTTTGCATGGATTCCTTCTTGTTTAAACAATTTTAGTTCATCTTTTTGTCACACGCATGTTTGTCTTTCATTTTTTCTTAGCAATTAATGGAGTAACCATTTCCTCCCAGCGGACTGCCCTACTCCGTGTTCCAGAGGTTTCTCGGAGAAGTGTACTTCCCAATTGACCACTAGAAAGATAATCGACACTAATGCGTCAACATTTATCTAGACAACTAGTTTGAGACATATTTACACAAATAAAACAGCAAGTCATCCTCTTGGCATTGTCAGAAATAAGAAAGGTCCACCAGGCTTACCAGGAGAGTTCTTCCTAAGTGGCTACGCTGGCGAGCAACGCCCCTCTCCGGAGCACACAGCCATGGTGGAGCCTAGGTGAAGGAGAGGGACGGCCACAGCCTGTCTTCCCCGCTTCTGAGCAGTGGCTCTGGAGGATGCACCAGGCACATGAGAGTGAGGGACACCCAGGTGGAAAGCCCAGTGGAAGGCAGGAAAGAACTGGCGTGAATGCTCACGCTAAATGACATTTTCACCAAGGAAATCCCAGAGGAGGGAAGTTCGGAGATGGCATGCTTCTGTCTGCCCTGCGCCGGCAGCTCGGTGGTTCAGCTGGCCGACACCGCCACGTCCCAGTGAGACAGGCAGAAGACCTGCAAAAAATGGGTTCTGTTTAGTGAATGGAACCTCACAATCCTAATATTTTTCATCGCGAACTCATTTAGCAGAGGAAATGGCCATCTCGTCAGACCCAGATTTGACATTCCATCACATTATACCATGAACAGGACCGCGGTTGTGCTGGGAGCGGAGATGCGGCCACCGCTCCAAGGCCCCGGTTATCTCATTTAAACAGATATTAAATGTAGGTGCCAGCGGTGTGATCACCAGCTGCTTCCCACTTTGTGAATAAATTGCTTAGAAGGAGTCTTTTGCCTACCAGATGTGACCTAGATTTTGATTTCCAGAGGCAAGGGGAAAAATCCTCTATTGTATTCAAAAACAATTGCTGGTAAAATGCATGGTAAATGAGCTTATCTCACTTTTCCAGGTGTTTGGGCTAATATGTTATGGAATTATTGCTTCATTTATGAGAAATAATTGAGGAAAATGTTCCAGCAAATCAAATTTGGATAAAGGCTTAGGAATAGCTATTGTATTGCTAGCGAGTTTTTAAATGGCAGAAAGAACAGGAGCCAAGAGAGATAATAAAAATATTTAAAAGCCGTATTTGAGAGGAGTCTCTATAAAAGGGTCAGATGTGGGTGTGCTACGGTTTAGTAAAATATTGAAGAACAACGTGAACAGTTACAGTTCTTTCAGTGTGTATGAAAGCTGTTTTTAAAAAAATCAAAGCTTGTCTGTCTGCTGGCTCTGATAAGTCTTATTACTCTGTTCAGTGCAGCAACATTTTTAAAAAATGTAATGTCTTTATTCACTTACCCACTGTGTCCTTTCTCATTTCCTTCCATTTTCAGGTGCTGCCACTCCAAAGCCTGTCCCAGAACCCGAAAAGCAAACAGACCACACGGTTAAAATTGCGGGCGTCATCGCTGGCATCTTGTTGTTCGTCATTCTCTTCCTTGGAATTGTGTTGATAATGAAGAAGAGGTGAGCACCAGGGCTTGGTAGCATGTGGTTGTGGGTAGGCCCAGTGTCTGCCAGGCTGCTTTGAGCGCACAATGATACTCAGTTCCTGCGTTGGCACCGAGGGTCAGGGCCTATCCATAACGGCCATGGTTAACATTTTTTATCAAGTAGCACTCAATGGTGTGGGCCAGAAACGTAGAGTGAATGGCTGCAGTTTTGAAGGAATGTACAAAGGAATCATGGAGGAACAGTGCCTCCCCACAGGGTGGTACCTGCAGCTCTGGAGAGCTTCAGAAGTCACATCCTAGCAGGAGATCATTAGTCCTCAGTACATACGTGGTGTTGGCCTCAGTGGTCTTGAAAATAGGGAAGAAGGCTTCCTTCACTCTGTGTTGAAGGTAAAGGTGGTGACAGAAAGTACAGAATGTATGGAGTCCATGTTGTAGGCAGGCACCATGCAAGACATCTGGTTAATGAGCACATCATCCGTGAAAAAGAGAAATCCAGGAACAGCCAAAGGAGAACACAGGGCAGCACTGGCTGTGTATGGACAAGTCACGGGGCAACTGAAGAGTCTCACACAGCTCCCTCTAGCAGGGGGTCGCCGTGGCAAGGACGTAGAACTGGCAATCATAAGTTGTTCTTACCTTTTGTACCTGGAAAATATCCAGAATCTTTTATGGGAACAACTAAGACCCCACTTAATCATAAAATCATCAATTCATAGGAGAACGACTGATCTGAACATAGAGAAGTGATAGGTTTTCCCAGAGGAGATGCGCGGGGCTCGGCTCTCTTCTCTGGAATTTAAGAATGAGTGGAGTTGGGAGGTGAATGAGAGCTGGGAGGGAGGAGGAGAGGAGACGTGGGCAGAGCAAGGCCGTGTGAGTCCCGTCTGGTCACGGGATGAGGAGGGACCGGCTCCCCCATCTCTATGCCGGTGACAGCGCGGTCTGATTCTTAGGAAGTTGGGCAAGGTGGGGAGGGAAGGAGCTGCGGTCAGGAAGAGGAGTTGAACGGAGAGGGGGCCTCTTGAGAACTGTCCAGGGGCTGCATGTTAGTAGCCGTCCGGAGAGGGCAGGAACAGAAGGGACCTCGCTCTGGGCTTGGGAGAGTAGAGACATCATTGGCCACCAAGGTGGACCTCAGAGGAGGACCCAGGACAATTTTGCAATGCGGGTGGAGGAGGGTCCGGCGCCGCACTCTCCAGGCTCAAGCGTCTGTTGAATGGAGCTGTTCCCTAGCACAGGCCGAGCTGCTGTGGGCTGGGAACAGCCGTTTCTGAGTATCTTCCACATTTCAGACCTGAACCTCTGGGTGCGGATGAAGCCACTCAGTTACTGTAGAGAGAAGGACAGGAGCGCTGTGGGTAAGCCGGGCCCTCGGGTGACGGCGACCCGTAAGGGGACAGTCAGTGTGCAGCTGCGGTGCTCCTGCTCCTGCCCTCCGTTTATGAACCTTCTTGTGCACTTAGGCTCTGGGTCAGTGTTAGTCTCGCCTGTGTGCATCCCTGGTCTGGGACCTCAGCACTTTGTGAGGCTTTTATGTCCTGGGTCCTTTTTCTTTCTATTTACCCATTGCTTCATTGCTCTCTTCATTGTTAATTCTTTCTTCCTTTTCATTCTGTTTTATTTCTTTTTCTTTTTATTCTTTATCTATTCTTCATCTCCTTGTTTATGTAGATCTCTAATTTGTGGCCCTAAGTGGTTGGTCTTTTTTTTTTTGGTCATATAACCAAGCTTTTCCATGCCTAGATATTCAAACTGAAAATTTTATCGAGGTTTATTGTAAATTCTAAGAATATGTTGGATCTTGTGTCACCTAGTCAGCTGTCTATGAGGAATAGCTTGAAATTCGAAATCCACTTGCCCTTGTGACCTTAGCTAAATGCTGTCTAATCCTCCAAGGGTCTATTTCTGCTGGATTAATTCATTTTTCTACCTAGGTCTCTCAGGTAGTCACCGAGGTTATGTTATAAATTATGCATTTGGAGAAGTCGCCACTGGTAACATATGGTCTTGATGTAACTTTAGAGTAAACGCCTAAATCCTGTCAGATTTTACATGATCATTTGCTACACAGTACTCTTAAAAGTGTTGTCCTCACAGCACATGCTGCTGCTGGACTTGCTTTTTCTGAAACAAAGAATATGTTCTCTACGAGGCAGATGAGCCAATGTACCACACCCATGACACTGGTGAAGTTTAGGCCTTGACAGTCACGTGCATGCACTGTCATGTTTAGAGCTTATGCTTGTTCAGGGTTTCTCACCAAAACTGAAGTCTACCCAAATTGAGAGGCAGTCTTTTAGACAGAGAGTGAAAACATACTGCTCACCACTGATAAGCTGCGGCCTGTTTCAATCGTGGAGCAGCCAGTGCTGGTCAACAAGAATTGTTCTTTTAGCCTTGTTTCCCAGGATGCTGCAGGAAGCCTTCTGTGAAAGAGAAGTGGTGGGGAATGGAGCAAAGATGGTGAGAAAGGGGAAGGACGAGAACCAGCTCAGGCGTAGATCGCTGTGCAGAATGAGCCATGTTTGCCAGGCGGAGCCAAGTGTTTCCCATCTGGAGTCCCCGCCAGTGGGAATACACTGAGCCTGTTCTCTCTGCCCACAGCGCTGAGTAAAGCAGCCCAAGCACACGCAGTGACTAGGACAGGCCCCACAGGCTCAGCGGTGCTTCTTCAAGTCCCAGCAGAAGCAGCCGGCAGTGTGTGTCTGTCATCCTGTCTCCGGGGCTTGGGGACCGGGAGAGGAGCAGGCAGGAGAACGCACCTCAGGAGAGCACTTGGCATCCTGTTGGGACACGGAGTCGGTTATTAGATTAACATTTTGTCTGCGGGACTAGCCTTCAATAAAAACCAGCTGCTGAAGGTGTACCTCTGGTAGAAAAGGTAAAACCTGTGCAGCAGCACTGACATGGAACGTACTGAGGAGAGCTCACACGACCCTTAGCTTCTTTTGGCTTCCGGCCCCAGGAACCTCTCACAGATCAGTGACTGGTGGCTTTCTGTTGATGGGCGTTAATCCGTGTAGCCTTTGCCTGGACTCTAAGGTTTTCTTTAAAAAAATGTATAAGGCTTATACTTTTCTTTCCATAGACAAAGTGATTTCTTATATTCCCTATTATAAAATTATATGTTCTTCTGAGAATGCAATGTCCTGATGCTGAAATGTTAAGGGAGAGGTGAGATAAAAATCTAAAACAAATGTTTCACACACAGCCACATGGTGATAAACTCTCAAAATTAATATGTAATAACTTGAGTAGGAGGTATTTTTACCATATTTCATCTGTGTATAATTAAACATAATTGTATAAAATGAAAATTCTTACATTTTCAACATTTTTCTTAAAGAATAATTTATCACAATAACATATTTGACAGAATTTAGTATATAAGCACCATCAATTTTAACATGATTAATTATGTTCACTTTGTTTTGAAAATTGCTGTGGATCCTTTATAGGTTGGAGAACATTTGTATTAATTACAATAAACCTGTCTCGGCCATTGTGTTATCTAGAAATTGCAGAGCTTGCAACTGCTGAGAAATAATTAAGCAGATATGAATTATTGAGCAAAATAGCAACTGGTACCTATTCTATGACATAAACAACAGTTTCTGATAAAGATAACTAATTTAATCTTGAAACAGTGCCCCCTCTGCTTTCCAAATTGTGCTGTAGCAGATGTACGTTTTACAAATGAAGCACAAGTTATTAAATATTTAGCACCCATTCTATTATAAACAATGCTAGCACTACCAAGAAGAAACTCCCAATGAAAATGAGAAATATTTCTGAAGACATAAAACAAAAAAAGATAGAGGGAAAATGAGATGAAAGCCCTGCTTTCCAAGAGACGCCTGACGTGGGCGGCTGGAGGCGAGCTGACATGAGCTGCGGTCCTGCTCAGCCTGTTTACAGAGGAGATGCGATGCTTCCTTTTGGCAGCTAGGTCTTACATGCAGAAAACATCAGCCCGGATGCCTAATTCAGTCTTGTTTCTGATTCGCACTTCCGGAAACTACCTGGAGAAAGTCCCAGGCAGACATTTCTTTCTAAACGATAGATGAAATGTGTGCACTTAGCACGCAGCCACATACATGATACCCGGATGCTGAGACCTTCTGCCCTGCACATGCTTGGGGGTGCTCAGAAGTGGCCGCATGTGCTCATGGCTGTGTAGGGACATGTCACCTCCCCTGCCCACCGCCCTGTTCTGCAGTGTCTAGGTGCTGAGAACCAGAAGGCATGGCAGGAGCAGGGCCACCAGTACTGAGCCTGCTCCAGCCTGGATGTGTTCGGGTCGGGTGCTAACCCAGGCTCTGCCCAATGGCCCGTGTACCTGTGCTCCATTAGGGGTTTCCATGGCACTTCATGAAGACGATGTTAGGAAGAGCCTGGGGAATGCAGGTGCCAGTCTCCCAGCTGTTAGCAGGAAGCCATCAGAAAACAGCGGGGACCATGGCTTCAGAGCCTCCCAAGCCTGGCTTTCCATTCCTGCCCCCACTGTGGAGAAGCATAACTGAACTGTGAGGTGTTCTCTGAGCCGGACCCGTGTGTGAACTCTGATGCCCCTGCTGCTGTTTCTGTAGGGACGTGCCATGTGCCCATCGTAGGGGCTTGGTAAACAGTAGCGTAAGTGCTCAGAAGTTCGGGAAGCCAACCCAGAGCAACAGGTGCCAGGTGGCAGAGCTTACATTAAATGCAGATGTGTCTGGTTCTTAAATTCTCTGCCACAGCTTCTTAAGTTCCCTGCCACAGGGACTCACACACGCATCTTGCTCTGTACAACTCAGGTGCTTTCTGCAGCCAGTGGTGGAGAGCAGTACTGTCCTCGGCTCGTTAGTTTACCGTTGCATCGTTTGAATTTGCTGTTTGCCACTGCAGCGATCTGAAATACTACCAGCATGCAGTATTCACCTTGGTCTTTTGGAGCTTTCAGAGGAGAATGTTTCTATCTTTTCCCGTTTCCTGCTTTTAAATGCTTTTGTGTCTGCATATTTTGAGACGTCT